TCAACTAATCAAAAGGGAAGAATTTTTAACGTTCTTTCCAGCCAAGGCTGGAATCCCAGTGATGAATCTGGTCTGGGCATTAAGACACTCAATACCCCAATAAAACACCCCTCTTTCTATCTCTAAATATTCAGTTGATAGAATGCAGGCATGATCAGGTATAAACGCTTAGTAAACCAAGAAATATTTATGTCACTCAGGCAAGTGCAGACATTTCTTTGGCAAAGTTGATTGCAAGACAGAAATTCTCCCAGAAAATAGTTCAAACCGAGTTCAAACCTAAAGGGTCCTTACTCTCCATCACAAGCAATAGAAGACAACAGATCAATTAGTCAAAAAGTGGTTTGGAAAGGAAGTCAAATTATTGTTGATTGTATACATAGAAAATTCAATCTAATCCAGGGTAGTTCTGGCCAGTTCATTTCCCTACTCAATAAATTCCAGTGATTCCCTATTGCCTCTGGGATCAACTATGATGTTGTCTGTCTCCCATTTAAAGATCTTTACAAACCAGCCCCTTCCTAACTTCCTAATTTTCTTATGTTGTCTTATTTCCCTCTATCCATGCCTTTGCTCTGACTACAACTTTCTTTGTTCATAGTGCAATGTTCTTTGCCATGAGAGATCAATCAATTTTAAAAATCAATAAACATTTATTAAGCACCCACTATGTGCCAGGCACAAGGCAGCTAGGTGACAGGGAGACCTGAGTTCAAATCTGACCTCAGACACTTACTAGCTATGTTACCCTAGGCAAATCTCTTAACCCTGTTTGTCTGAGTTTCCTCATCTGTAAAATGTGCTAGAGAAGGAAATGGCAAATCATTACAGTATCTGTTCCAAGAAAAATCTTAAATGGAGTCACAAAGAGTCAGATATAATTGAAAAATGACTAAACAATATGTGCCAGGCAAAGTGCCAAGTGCTAGGGATGCAAAAAAAAAAGATAGTCCCTATCTTTGGGGATATTACAGTTATAATCATGGCATATCAAGCATTTAAATTGGCAATGTTATGAGAGAATCAGTAGATTTGTACATGTTCAGTTTTCCTTTAACGAAAACAGCCATTTGTGTTGAGTTCAGGGTCAGCTGAGGTTAATACATATATGAAACAGACAAATTTTGTGTATTTTCTGAATTCTATACTCACCATGCTCTGTAGGTTGGTAAAGTTCATATTAGATTAAACTACCTATAAATTTGCATTTATCTGCAGTAACATACAATCCAAAATTGTGCAGCATGTCTGGCTAACCTGGTATGCCCTGGCACAATCATTGAGAACCACTAGTCAATTCTGAGAAGTCCAATGAGACTATTTGATGGAGGCCGAGGTAAACTCTGATCCACTTGCAATGCCCATCTGTCCCCTTGATAACTGAACTCTGCAGGCCTCCCCATAGACTCTTCTCAGAATGGTTAAGATCCCCCACACTCCTCAAAGAATGATCTGTATTTCTTTGTTGTTGGTGGTAACAACTGAGGTTGGTTTGAGGGGTTAGAGAACAGTTTGGAAAGAGAAGTGATAGCAAGCTATAGGAAGTTGTGGGAACCCTCAGAGAGACTGCAGAATGGAAAGGGTTGAGAACAGTTGGATTATACCAAGGAGGTCCTTGAAAAGAATTTGTCATTTATTCAAATAACCTTATGATTTATGCAAGACACTCTAAATAGCACTGTGATTGTTTACAATGAAAACAGGAGGAATTATTTTTGTCCCAGAAAAGCTTATAACCTAATGGGAGAAGGGAAAACACTTCACTCTAAATTTAATAAGCTGAAGCACTAAAGCTATCCATAGGTTACAGCTGCATATTAATAGTAAGAGATTGCTGTAGAAATTGGGAACAATGATGATGATGATGATGATGGTGACAACGATGATGATCATGATAACTGAACACTTTAAGGTATGCAAAGGACTACATACATGTTAACTCATTTGATCCTGAAAACAGTCAATCAGTAAACCTTTATTGTATGCCTACTATGTGCTAATCACTGTAGTAAGAGCTGGGGACACAAAGAAAGACATGAACTGGATGTCCTCAAGCTCATGGGCAAGTCTAAGTACAGAGATAAGATAGCATAGGCAATCCTAAAAGAAAATCCATCAACAAAACTAGGAGAGAAAGAGAAAAATATTGAGACAGGCTACTACCACAAGGCCTACCTACTATTATCCCAAATTTATAGATGAGGAACCTAAGAGACTTACCTAGGGACACATAGGTGGGAAGTATCTGAGTCAACACTTGAACTCAGGTCTTCCTGTTTGTATGTCTGATACACTATCCACTCTGCCACCTAGTTGCCTCAAATAGGTGGGGAATAGAATGAATAGAATAGAAAATGGTTATTGCTCACTGAAGGCTGATTCTTCATGACCCCATTTGGGGTTTTCTTGGCAAAGATACTGGAATGGTTTGCCATTTCCTTCTCCAGCCCATTTTACAGATGACAAACTGAGACAAACAGGGTTAAGTGACCTGCCCAGGGTCACAGAGTTAGTAAGTGTCTGAAGTCAGTTTTGAACTCATCCTGTTTCCAGGCCTGGTGCCATATCCACTGTACTACCTAGTTGCCCCTTTCCTATGTAGGACATTGCATTTGGAGTCACAAGATGTGAAAGCAAATCTTAGCTCTCCTATGCAACTCTCTTTTGGATCTTGGGCAAGTCACAGTGTTGCTCTAAGGGGGCTGGACTTGATGGTCTCTAAGCTCCCAGACAGCTGTAAATCCTATGAAAAATGTAGTTTAGTAGACAGGTTAGGGAAGGACCTCCCCTGGAGTAGATACAAAGGTTTTAATCTGGAAGGCTCATGAAAACTTATTCTTACATTTTGAGTGTGGGAATTTACAAATTAGAAATAGCAAACACTATAAATCATGACCTGGTTTATTGTTTTATTGATTATATAGTCTTAAGAAAGTGATGGAAAAAATGTTAATACTGAAGATTAAACTTTAAAGTATATAGTGCCCACACTTTTTTTTTAAACCTAGTTGTTAAATATTTACCAGCATATCCTTAGAAGTAGTTTAGCTTGGAGGGAGCTAAGAGTGTACAGCCAGTAAAATAAGAATGGTTAAGTAAACAACAACAACAATAATAATATATGATACTTAAAGGTTTGCAAAGCCCTTTACAATATTACTTTATTTTATCCTCACAACCTTGGGAGGTAGATGCTATTTTAATCCCTATTTTACAGATGAGGAAACAGAGGCAGGCAAAGGTTAAGTTTATCTGCCCAGAGTCACACAGCAAAGAAATGTCTGAGGCTAAATTTGAACTCAGGTCTAGTACACTATCCACTGTGCCACTTAATTGTCTAAACAAACAGTGGAGAGAACCTAGAAGACTATATCTAAGTTTTAATTTGATTCAAGAGTCAAGATCAGGTTCTAGCTTTGGGAGCACATATACTATTATAGAGATTAGGGCAGCTAGGATGCTCAGTGCATAGAATGTTAAACTTGTAGTTAGAAAGCACCAAGTTCAAATTCTGGTTTGAACAATTACTACCTATGTGATCCTGTGCAAGTCATTTAACCTTGGTATACCTCAGTTTCCTTCTATGTAAACTAGGGATGGTAATACTACTTAACTCCCACGGCTGTTGTGAGTATAAAATGAGATAACACGTATAAAGTCCTTCAGAAACCTAGAAGTGCTATATAAATTCCAGCTGTCATTATTATTAGATTAGCACAGCAGAAACAGAAGGAAGAAATGTCTGTCAGAGTATTCTTTTTGAAGAGTCAAGAGAGAACAATTGTAGGTTTCTGTGGAAGGCAGTGATTTTAAAATACAGAAAGATGTGTACTTCTGGCGTGTGTACATAGGCCAGGTTTAGAAACAGAAGGCTGTTGTAGTAACCATAGAACGATGTGATTAGAACCTAGAACAGGTGTGGGTCTTCAGAGGTGGAGAAGAAAGCAGCCGAGAAAAAACCAGCAATATTTGTCAATCGATTAACAAGCATTTCTTAAGAGCATGCTATGTGCCAGGTACTGCACTAGATGTCATGGACCCCAAAACAGAAGGCAAACATTCCTTGCCTTTCAGGAACTTACATTCTAACAGATGAGAGAATATGCCCATATGCAGGTATATGGAAAATATACCCAAAATGCATGTAAGGAACTTGGAGTTGCTGGAAGAATAACCATCACAAATTCAAGGTTGCACTCCTAAAATTATATAGCTCATGAGCCCCTACCAATGTGTTTGCCTATTGATAGTCTGCCAAAGAACACAATTAGCTTATTTACTGAAAAAGCATTCTAAGAAAAAGAGCAACACATTGGGAGGGCAGTGGGGGTCCAAAGAGGACCCCAAGGTTAGGACTTTAAGGCTGTGAAGATTTATAACCCTTAACTGTGAGTTTGCAAACCTAATGCCTGGATAAATGGCTTTTCTAAAAATGCAATCCCCTAGTTTTATTATAAGGAGTAGGTTGCCCCGTGGTAATCCTATTTGAAAACAATAAATAAATCTGCCAGGACACTCCACCTAGGCAAGGCAAATTGATTTGGTGAGAAGTCAGGAGAACGGCCCATAATGAGATCAGCCTATGTTCTTCCCTTTCTCGTTTGTTATGATGTTTTCCTTCCCAGCAGTAGTTTCACTGTCTTCTAGCATGCTGTGTGCAAACATCTGCCAAAGCCACCAGCCCTCATCACTTGTCCCATTTTAGATGTGCAGTGCTCCTTAAAGGTAAATACCTGAATTTGTTAACTAGGTAACAGCAAGTGTCAGGCATCAGACTAGAGAGACAAAAATGTGATGTTATTAAGGCAGCTACTGTCCAAAGGTGCCTATGTGTTTCGAGTCTTGTGAACTTGATTTTAAAGTCGTTTTAATGATCTTTTGCACAGACCTTGGGAAAGCATCTTCCCTCTTTGCACCCAAGGTAGTAATGATTCTTCATCTCTTCTGGAAGATTCAGCAGGCAAACCCAAATAGCTCGTCTCTCCTTTCTCTCTTTGCAGGTGATCAAATACAACAGCTCACAAAAAAGGAAGTGATCTGGATCTGTCCAATGCCCTGAAAAGGAAGAAGACTAGAAAAATGCCAGAGAATTAAATCCTTTGATCTGGAGGCAACATTTTGTTTGTCTGCTTCTGAGGGCAAACTCAGTGTGTCTGTTAAGACAGATAAAACCTACAAAGCGTGTTGGGGGGGGTGGGGGAGGCTGCTGTGGGGTAAGGCGAATGGACCATATTAAACAAAAGGATTAGAAGATGGTGATTTGATTGACCCTTATGGTTTATAGTACATACCAAAGACATAACTCTGGTCTACTCAGAGTTTGTATTCCTTCTTCTTGATCTCCAAAGGGAATGTGGCCTTTGGTTAAAACCTGTTCTCCCAGCCAGAGTACAGAGAAACTCATTTATGAGGGAACAGCCTGCCATTCCTACAAGAGCTTCTGTGAATTGATTAAATTTAGGGATTGCTGTTGCCTTTTCCTCCGTGTCTGGAAAGAAGATGAGCAGAAGGGCCTTGGTGCTGCAGTCTTCTCCTCCCAGAATGACAATGATTTGATGAAAGTGATAGTGCAGTGTGGCAAGGGGTGCCCATATGGGAGAAATCAACGAGCCAACATCTGGGGTAGCAGACCTCAAAGTCTCCAATGATGTTGATGATGATGGAGATCTCCACTTTGGGCAGGATCAATTAAGGAAATAAATGCTAGACATTATCTTTGTGAACATGATCTAGGCAGAAAGGTAATCTGATTATAATGATGACCAAGATTGCTTTCATATGAAACATTAAGCTCATGGCTTAAGGAAATGGTGATGTGATTAGCAAATATATTCACGGAATCTGCTTTGAGTTTCCTAATGTCTTTTTGAGTATTCATTGACAGCAATGTCTAACTGGTTAGCACACAGATTAAATATACCATGATGGCTAAATAGAACTGAAACAGATGTCCTGTCATTAGGGCCATCCCTGGTGGGTTCTGGGACTAGGGGAAACCCTGAGGGCCTTGTGATTTGTTGTTTTTATTCAAATGAAAGTTGGTTGGGCAATCTTGAAGGAGAAAAGAAGGCAAAGCCGAAGGCATATCAAGCACTTACCATGTGCCAGGCACTGTGCTAAACGCTGAGGATACAAATACAAGTAAAAAGAAAGATGATTCCTGCCCTCATGAAGCTTACATTTTAATTCGGCAAGACAATACATAAAAAAGGAGGTGAAAATGGATTTGGCAAAAATGGGGGGTGAGAGGAGCATGTGACTAAGGCCAGAGAGTCAGAAACACTCTCTGAGAGAAATAAAGCGTGGTTGATCTGGGTCCATCCATAAAAAGAGGCACTGGAAGGAACTTGTCAACAAGAGGAGGAGGTGAGCATGGCAGAAGGATGTTCCAAGGTGAGCTGCAACATATAGCCAAAAGGTTATGGCAGAGGCGGGGCACGGAGAGGGACACAGGATGAATAATGGCTCTTACCAGCCAGCCGGGATCAGTCCTTTCTGTATCCCTTTCCACCTCTTTATATGACAAGGAAACCAAAGGTGCCTGAAAAAAAATTTGCAAGATGGCTTTCCATAATTGTAGTAGAAAGAACACTGCATTTGATATCAGTCACTTGACTTTGAATCTTGTCCAAACTGAAGTATGGTTGCCTGTGAGACCTTGAACCCATCACTTATCCTCTCTGGACCTGGAGTTCTTAACTATAATACCTGTGTGTGTGTGTGGTGTGTGTGTGTGTGTGTGTGTGTGTATACACACACATATATGTACATATATATCTACATATGTATATATTATGTATGTATATACATGGGTACATATTATATGTATCTATACATATGTATGTTTACCTACATATGTGTCTGTCTGTAAATACATATAGTTGGAAAGAAATCTATATTTAAATAGTTTCTTTTGCAATCCTATATTTTATTTTATACGTTAAAAATTTAATTTTGGAAAGGGATCCATAGACTTCATCAGGCTGCCCAAGGGGTCCAGGACACAAAAGAGGTTACAAACACCACCCCCATGTTCCCCACCCCCAGCTTTAGGGGTGGTGTTTTCCTCCTTCCTCAACTGCAGATGATCTCTAAATGCCCTTGCAGTTCTCTGTGTTCCTGTAACCCTGAGTATTATCATTGCTGGAATGATGCTGAAACTTTTAATCATGTCTCCGTTGTCTTGGGAATTCAGTTCAACCTGAGAGCTGCAAGACTAGGCAAGAATTCCGTCTAGTCTGACATCAGAAAGGACCATAGTCTCACAGAGGTTCAGCATATCAGGGCATTCCTGCCCCCAGGGGAGGAAGTACCAGTTTAAATCTTCAATAATGCGGTGTTGTGGAGGATGCACTGGCTTTTATTTAAGTGAATGTACATACTTGGTAATAAAATAAACCACAGGTGACTCACTGATATTAAATGTCTGGGGCCGGGATTCAAACCCAGGTCTTCAAACCCAGTTCACTTTCCATGACATCACCATGTCTCTCTCATATGAAACCAATTTAGAGTCTGGATCTAGGTCTGGCTGTGTTCCCTTGAACTGTGAGTATATTAACCCCATTTCCCCCTCCACCCACCCCCAAAGGCCATCTTCTTTTCAAGCTATTTTCAGCTCAACTGTACCTACTCGTTTGCAACACTTGTCATAACAGGAAGCCAGTTTCACATACTGTAATCCCCCAAACACGTTTCAGCTGCACGTGGAGAGCCAGGGTGGGCTGAAGGAAGAGCAGGGAGATTAGGCCCTGGGAGAAAGCAGCCAGCAGCTAATGCTAGGCTCAGCACAGCTCCCAGGATGCAGCCTCTCCAGGCCCAAAGCCTCCAACACCAACATCCAGACAATCTTGTTTTCTTCCAAATGGAGTTGGTGCCTTTTTTTTTTTAATAAAGCATTTGAGTAGGCAGCAGAGGCAGTAGAACTGTTTATTTATAGCTGTGAATTTTCAGTGCTGTATAAATTAGAAATCATTGCTGAATGAGGTCCTCGCCCACTCACACACGCAGGGCTGCTATCTGTGAGTCCTTTCACACAGTTTGACTGTACACAGTCTAAAATGGGAGAAAATGACATGCTCCGAGTCAAATGACAGAGTCACAGCTAAACTGCAAGGCAGAAAACCAGCAATTATTTTTCCTCGGCACAATATGGGGAGTACGACAGGTGCAATTATCCAATATTATTTAACAGTGGCGGTTTGTGGTATAGGGAGAAAATAAAGGTTTCCGTGTCTTGATGGGGGGAGGAGGGAGAAAGAAAGAAAGAACCTGCCTCATAGTTCCTATTTCCTATTTCCTAGGATTAAGCATTGTTTTGTAAAGTGAAACTGGCCATCTTGAAAAGGGAAGGAGGCCAGAATCACCTGGATCTCCCATCCCCTATCTCTCATCCTCAAACCTGACTTCCGGATGGCCCCAAGGGTGACCAGGAAGAATTACAGGTAGTTTTAAGGACTCTAGCCTCAACTAGCCCATTTGTGGACCCAGTCAGACACAGGTCCCTGTAAGTTTGTCTTTAGGGCACTTCTTCCTTTCCCTTTCAGAGTCTCCATTTCTTTTTTGTAAATTCCACTACCACCCGGGCAATGCAGATCAGGAAAGGCAGCATGGGATCGTGAAAAGAACATTGGTTTCAAAATCAGAAGACCTGAGTTTGAATCTTGGCTCTGTTACTTAGCACTTGTGTGACATTGGGCAAGTCACTTCTCTGGGCCTCAGTTTCCTTATTTGTGGAAGGAGGAGATTGAACTAGATGATCTCTTAGGTCCCTTCCAGCCTTAAATTTTCTGATCTAGTGAGATACAGACTTCTCAAGGACAGGGACTTTCTCACTTTTGTATTTGTATGCCTAGGGTCCCTGGCATTCAGCTGGCATTTAATTAATAAATGCTTGTTGTATGGTTGATCCTAGCTGGCTCTTCAAATCTCCATGCTCATTCTTCCTGTCTCACCTCACAATTGTTTCTCCCACCAGGAATATCTTATCTCTTTCATTTACCTTAACCTAATCTTCCAAGCCATTCTTCATTTCCCACGTTCTCCAAGAAGTCTTCCCTCATTGCTCCTATTTACATTGGATTTCATTCTCTTCTGAGTTCTGATTACTCTGCAGATCAGTTACCACCCAGTTCAGCACAGAGTAAGGTCCCCTGCTATACAAACAGAGGTGTAATTTTGATAACAGCTAATAACATTTTAGTCATCATTTTTATGGCACTTAAAAATAGGCAAAACACTTTATAAATACCTGTTTTTATTCTCAAAACATCCCTGAGAAAGAAATGCTGTTATTATCCCCATTTAACAGATGACAAAACTGAGGCAATAGTTTGAGTGACTTGCCTAGGGCCACACAGCTAAGTATCTGAGGCAGGATATGAACTCTGGTCTTCCTAACTCGAAATCTAGCACCCCATCCACTGCACCCCTAACTGCCTCTGATTTTTATGGATGTATTTTTTTGCTTCTACAACCATAGCAATACCTTGCAGAAAAGCAGCTATCCCAAAGTTTAAAAAAATAAAAAGAAGAAGAAGAAGAAGAAGAAGAAGAAGAAGAAGAAGAAGAAGAAGAAGAAGAAGAAGAAAGAAGCAGTAGCAGTAGCAGCAGCAGCAGCACTGATCTGGCTTCGTTGTGTACTCTGTTGTCAGGCACCATAAAGAACCCTTTTGTGAAACAACATTCCGAATTTCACCAAATCAAACTGTTCCAGCATTTAGAGGTGATAAACACTCCTTTGGAAGACCAATCGAATCTGAAGAAAACCTTTCTGAGATTTTAGTTTCACAATCAGCAATTTAACACCCTTCCTTCCATCTCCCCCCCCCAAAAGTCTTTAGATTGTGATTGCTTTGTAATGTTTTTTTCTTTAACATTTTGGCAAATATAAAGGAATATTTCTGTCTCATTGTTGCTTGCTTCGTAACTATGCATTGTGGGGAAAACACACTATCTTTATAGCACTGGGCAGACAACTTTAGTTACATGTGATGGCCTGAGGACTTCTTGGAGAAACTTCTTTTCTTCCACTGAAAGAAAGTTTCCTGGGAGTTGGTTCAGAAGGTAAGCCTGTGTTTTGTTCCTTTGTTTGTTTTGAGAAGCTTAGGTTCTGTAATAGCTAGAGAGGTGACTTCAAAGCTTGGAAAAGGCGTGGATTCAGTTCTCACCTTTGACCCACAATGTCTGTCTGATCTTTAACCTTTCAGTGTACTAGGCCAACTTTCCTCATCTGGGAGTTCTTGATGCCAATAAAAATACAAATCCCTATCTCTATGTGTGGAGGCAGCTAGATGGCTCAGTGGCTAGAGTGCTGGGCCTGGAGTCAGGAAGACCTGACTTCAAAAGCAGCCTCAGACACTTACTAGCTGTGTGACCCTGGGCAAATCACTTGATCCTGTTTGCCTCAGTTTCCCTATCTGTAAAATGAGCTGTAGAAGGAAATGGCAAACCACTCCAGTATCTTTGCCATGAAAACCCCAAATGGGGTTATGAAGAGTTGGATATGATTGAACAACTATATCCCTATGTGTAGTTTTTCTCCCCCGCTAGAATATAGGCACCTTGAGGGCCAGTATAAGGTCTTATACTTCTGTTTTCCCCTAGGGCTTCAAGCATAGTCCTAGTAATGCCATCAAGCCATAGAAAGTTCAAGTTGGAAGGGACCTTAGGGCTCATCTCACCCTGGCCCCATTTTTTGCCAGTGAAGAAACTGAGAGTCAGAGAGGTCAAGTCAATCACCCAAGGTCAGAAGTAGAATCTGATCCTTTTTTTTTTTTTTACTGTAAATCTGTTGGCTACACTGTGGGATGCTGATAGTGGTAAGGGCAGCTAGATAACAGTGGATAGAGTGCTG